AATTTATATGAAGCTTTTTACAGCTACCGCCTAAATTTTAATGAATTCTGGTCCAGAATCGTTTGTAGTTGATTGTAGTTTTAAATTTTTTTTCTTAGTTGAAAAATAAGTGCGTAATGCGTTTTTTTAAAAATTCAAATGAAGCTTTTTACAGCTACAGCTTCAATTTTAATGAATTCAGGTCCAGAATCGTTTGTAGTTGATTGTAGTTTTAAATTTTTTTTCTTAGTTGAAAAATAAGTGCGTAATGCGTTTTTTTTAAATTCATATGAAGCTTTTTACAGCTACAGCTTCAATTTTAATGAATTCAGGTCCAGAATCGTTTGTAGTTGATTGTGGTTTAAAAATTTTTTTTTTTTAGTTGAAAAATAAGTGCGTAATGCGTTTTTTAAAAAATTCATATGAAGCTTTTTACAGCTACAGCTTCAATTTTAATGAATTCAGGTCCAGAATCGTTTGTAGTTGATTGTAATTAAAATTTTTTTTTTTAGTTGAAAAATAAGTGCGTAGCGCGTTTTTTTTTAATTTTAGTTTTAATTTTTTTTAGCTGAAAAATAACTGCGTAATGCGTTTTTTTTAAAATTCATATGAAGCTTTTTACAGCTACAGCTTCAATTTTAATGAATTCAGGTCCAGAATCGTTTGTAGTTGATTGTGGTTTTAAAATTTTTTTTTTTTAGTTGAAAAATAAGTGCGTAGCGCGTTTTTTTTTAATTTTAGTTTTAATTTTTTTTAGCTGAAAAATAACTGCGTAATGCGTTTTTTTTAAAATTCATATGAAGCTTTTTACAGCTACAGCTTCAATTTTAATGAGTTCGGGTCCAGAATCGTTTGTAACTTATTGTAGTTAAAAGTTTTTTTTAGTTGAAAAATAAGTGCGTAATCCGTTTTTTTAAATTCATATGAACCTGTTTACAGCTACATCTTCAATTTTAATGAATTCAGGTCCAGAATCGTTTGTAGTTGGTTGTAGTTTTAAAATTAATTTTTTTTAGTTGAAAAATAAGTGCGTAATGCGTTTTTTTAAATTCATATGAACCTGTTTACAGCTACATCTTCAATTTTAATGAATTCAGGTCCAGAATCGTTTGTAGTTGGTTGTAGTTTTAAAATTAATTTTTTTTAGTTGAAAAATAAGTGCGTAGCGCGATTTTTTTGTATTTATATGAAGCTTTTTACAGCTACCGCCAAAATTTTAGTGAATTCTGGTCCAGAATCGTTTGTAGTTGATTGTAGTTTTAAAACTTTTTTTTAGTTGAAAAACAGGTGCGTAATGCATTTTTTTTTTTATTTATATGAAGCTTTTAACAGCTACAGCTTCAATTTTACTGAATTCTGGTCCAGAATCGTTTGTAGTTGATTGTAGTTTTAACATTTTTTTTTATTTGGAAAATAAGAGCGTAGCGCGTTTTTTTTTTAATTTATATGAAGCCTTTTACATCTACCGCCTAAATTTTAATGAATTCTGGTCCAGAATCGTTTGTAGTTGATTGTAGTTTAAAAATTTTTTTTTTAGTGGAAAAATAAGTGCGTAATGCGTTTTTTTTTTAAATTTATATGAAGCTTCTTACAGCTTTCGCTTAAATTTTAATGAATAAAATTTCATATAAATCTAATTTTCATATAAACTTAAAAAACGCATTACGCACTTATTTTGCAACTAAAAATTTTTTTTTTAGTGGAAAAATAAGTGCGTAATGCGTTTTTTAAGTTTATATGAAAATTAGATTTATATGAAATTTTATTCATTAAAATTTAGGCGGTAGCTGTAAAAAGCTTTATATAAATTTAAAAAAAAAACGCGCTACGCACTTATTTTTCAGCTAAAAAAAAATGTAAAATTACAATCCACTACAAACAATTCTGGACCTGAATTCATTAAAATTGAAGCTGTAGTTGTAAAAAGCTTCGTATAAATTTTTTAAAAAACCCATTACGCACTTATTTTTCAACTAAAAAAAGTTTAAAACTACAATCAACTACAAACGATTCTGGACCTGTGTTTAGGTCCTCGACCTAAATATATTGCACCACCCTAATACGCGTTTTGTCACTTCATGTAAGAGCACACAAACAGATGTATAAGTTACGGCTAACTTTCCAGCCGCTAACAATGAGCACCACTGTACGGTAACTTAGTTGAGGGGAAACTTAACGAATNTCACTTCATGTAAGAGCACACAAACACATGTATAAGTTTCGGCTAACTTTCCAGCCGCTAACAATGAGCCCCACTGTACGGTAACTTAGTTGAAGGGAAACTTAACGAAAGTTACAGTGCGGTGGGCTACATCCCTTTTCGTTTTGCTAGCAATTTGTCACCTCTTAGAAGACAGCAAGGAGATCACGTCAGCCATCACACCACGTTCGGTAAGCCAAGTCTTGTGTGCCACACTATTCAAACTCATAGATATTTACAAATAAAACGACCTTTAATTTCATTGCACTAAAACCACTGTGTCTTTTATTTACTCTTATTTTCGTTACATTAACTTTACGCTGGTGCGCTCCATCTTCGTGCGACGCCACCTGCGTAAATATTGGTCCTTCGAGCCTAAAAAGTAACCAAATTATACAGTCCACATAGAATCACATCTGAGTTTTTCAACTGCCTCAACCGATCGCCACATTTTTCCACATTGGTTACAACAGCATCACGTTCGTCTACGTCTACGTCAACCTGAGTTTTTCGCACCACAACCAACGTGCCACAAGAGCTATATCAAGCGTTTTTCTTCGGTTTGCTACACAAGCAGCGGTTTTTGGTTCATCGCTTAACCAGGTGTTCATCAAATCAACGTTTTGTATTGCATCACAGCATCACGTTTGCATCACAGCAGCACTAGTGTCAGCAACACATTTTTTAACAAACCAGCATATCGCACTACACGGCATATAACAACACATTAAGGTACGTGGTTGAATTTCATTGCACTTGTGTGTGTACGAATTTTAACAAAAAAAAAAAAAACGCGCGTGATTATTTTGTAAAAATAAAAAGGNAANGAAAATCAGTGCTTAATATTTTTCCGAAAACAAAAAATATAGAACATTTTCATGTTTATTGGTGTATCGGCTAACATTAACGAATTGCGCGAACGTCCATTTTGATTCTTGATACGGTGTTGTTTGTGTAAAAATACCAGTCGCATTTACCGAAGCACAAGATTGATAAAATTTATTCTTTTCTTGCAAAGCACAGAATTTAGTTTTTTCACTTAATTACGTGTTCGACAGTCTTACTTGGCTGCAAAATAAATAAATCGTTATTTAAATATACAAGTTATCCTTTGTTGTTCTCATAAGAACTAGGCTTATTTCGGGCTAAGCGGTTAGTGGCAATATTTTCCTACAAATCGGCGATTTCTATTACTACAGACAAATTTCTTTTCTTGCGTCCAATTGAGTGGTCTTTGGTTGTCAAAAATGGATACCTTTATTCGTCAGGCAGATTCAGTAGCAGAATTCGAATCTGACTACAATACTATGCAGCCATCAGAGCACACAAAGCACTCCTTAGCTTTCCAAAAGGATGAATTAAAGGCTCTGTGGGAAAAGGTAAAGGGGTCTTATGATGAGCTTTGCGCATCAAAAGAGCTCGAAACCAGAGACCTGACATCGGTTAAAAAGAAGTATAAAAGCACCTACTTCAGTTTTTTGCGGTGCCAAGCAGCAATGGCTGATCTTTCAGAGCAACTCGCAAAGACTGAAAAGGAAAGCGAATACAAGTCAGGTCGCGAGCTTAATATTCATCTCCCTCCTTGTGACACAGACATTTTTAAAGGAGATTATCTTTCGTGGCAATCGTTTAGGGATATGTTTACGGCTATATATATTCTCAATAAGCGCCTTACCCCAGTTGAGAAGCTGTATCATCTCCGGCAAAAGACTCAAGGGGAGGCCAAGGAAATAGTGCAGAGATCCCCATTAACCAACGATGGCTTTGGTGCAGCCTGGAAAAATCTTTGTGACAGGTACGAAAATAAACGTATCCTCGTCAACGATCAGTTAAAGGTATTATTTAATTTAAACGCAGTTGAGAGTGAATGCGGTAGCTCTATCAAGAAACTGCAACGCGACATAAATAATTGCATCTCGTCGCTTCAGTGTCATCAGATTGATGTTGCAAATTGGGATGCAATATTCACATATTTGTGTTCGACAAAACTGCCAGAAGCAAGGGAGCAAACCATAGAAAATAAAGTTGAGATTTCCAAATGGGTAGATATGGATAAATTCCTATCCAATCGGTTTCAAACACTGGAAACCATCACAGGCCTTAGGGGAGATATAGCTTCGAAACCTAAACCACCAAGCTCTCGGACTTCTGCAGAGACGCCTGCAAAAAAGCTTGGCGCCTTTCAAGCCAGTGTAGCAAAGGCAACATGTAAAATGTGCAACAGCAATG